TGACTAAGACAGAAACTGGTACCAGGATAGTGCACTATTGCTGGGAAGAACTGTGAAAGGACTTTGGAACTTTGGGCTAGGAAAGCCCCTGAGTGTTGAGAGCTCAGTGGGCTGTTCTGTAGGAGCTTAGAAGATAAGAATGTTGAAAACAATGCAGATGATAGAGCCTTGGCTTGCAAAGCTTCAGAGGAAAGCAAAGACTGCCAGGCCATTTGTGGGAAGAAGCTATGGTGTCCGATCAGCTGGAGCTGAAGAATCAGCTGTGATTAACAAGAGACCAGAACCGCTAAAGCAAAACCTTTGCTTTGCTGGGACAATGGACGCTGGTCAGCTGCGGCTGAAGAACCAGCTGTGATTAAGAAGAGGCCAGCATCATTGAGGTGAAATCTTTGGGAAGTGTTTCCTCAGAGTCAGCACATACGTATACTAAGCTCTCTCTATATCCTTCTGTGTATACTGTTCTCTGGTACTGTTCTAAACCCCTCTAGTCAACAGGTAACCTCTGACCTGAAGTTGGTACTTAGCATTTCTATAAATGCCTTTCCAACTCTATTGTATATAAAAGTGTGTATATATGTGTATACACAATGTGTTTTCAAACTTAAATGGTTTTATACTTTGTGTATTATTTACATTACACTTTTTATACCCATTCTTGTTAATATGCATAGCTCTAGGCCAGCACTTCTTAACCTTGGCTAGAAATTGAAATTGGAATTGGGGAGCTTGAAAAACTAGTGATAGGCAGATTCACCCATATATTCTATGATAATTCATGCACAGATTGAGAACTTCTGCAAACTGGTTCAAACATTTTCCAGGGCTGTGGAAGAATTCATTGTATGAGTATTTCACAACTCACAGACCATTTTTCTAATTGTGAACTGTTTCTAATTCCTCGCTATTTCATTCTGTTCATCCATGCCATTTGGTTCTCTGCTGACCACTGTGGTTTTTTCCTGGTGCATGTTCTCTAGGGCACACAGCTAGAGGGTGTAATTGGTGGATCACAAGTTGAGCATGTTCAGCTTTATCACATTATCAGGCAGTTTACACCTCCCCCATTTCTCTGCCTTTTGCTAACACTTGATTGATCACACATCTTTTTCCTCAAGTTATATTTCCCCCATTATAAGTGAGGCTGTGCATCTGAATGTCTGCTTCTATGAATTGTCTTTTGCCTGTAGTCTATTCTTTTCCTCCTTGTTCCTCCTCACTGTCCCCCTCCCTTTCTCTTGGCCCACAGCTCCTCGTTTGTGGACTTTGTAATTGCCTTCCCTCTGCCTCTCCATAGCCCTCCATCCAGAAAGTACACATCACAGCACAGATCTGCTGGCCACAACATTTAGATCCTGGGTCAGTTCTAGTCTCCTGCCTCCTGAACACCAGGGCTTTTTCTTCCCATCTTATTTCAAAATAGGAGGAGAGCTCCATCATAGTCCCTGGCTTCAGAAGGACTGCCTGCTCTAGCTCCCTTTCTTGCTGAAGTGATTTTAGACCTTGTTGCCATCCTTGCTTCAGCCTCACTCACTGTCCTATTTCTGTCCTGTTTTCATTCTGCAAGACAACTACTATGGTTTGTGATTGAGAGACCACTCTTATTTATCATTTTTTTATACTTGATCATCACTGATGTAAAAACCTACTATGCCATGTTGAACATTACATGCTATATTTCTGATGGGGAAAAGGTTATAAAATCTAAATAACACTCAACATTATATTTTTCCCTCAAATTCTTTTTTTCCCCCCGCAGATACAGGAATGGGGTCAAATTAGCCTAAATGTAATTTGGATGGCAGAGAAGATTCATTTTGGGTGAACAATGCCAAGCAATTCAACAACCAAGGGGCTGCCACAACTAACAAAGATTAGAAGCAATACTAACACTTATGCAGACACACTTGAAAGAGTATTTATTTACCTGTACACTTTGGGCTTTTGTCCCCTGAAAGTCTTTTGGCAGCAACTGTTTCCAGAAGCTTTCTTTTGAATAGTCAAAATGCACAGCCATTGGTGTATTATTTTGTTGAATATTAAACCAGACCTATACAAACATTAACAAAAAGTCAGTGTAAGCCCATGGAAACACAAAACCCATGGTGGGTAAGAATGGTGCAAAATATTACAGCCTGGTACTCAACAAAGTGGCCAAAGCCAAGGGAGGCCTGAGGGAGGAGCCGATTCTAGGGTGCTGCAAGGGCAGCATTAGCTTGGTAGTGCCACTGTTGGAAGTTCTACTGACTGGCTTTAAGGGTAAAAGTTGGCCTGATCCCTGGCCCCACAGACTTCTGAGTACCACCACTTCAAAGTTCCTGGGTGATTCTAATGTGTGCTCAGGATGACGTGAAGAAATAACTCAAAGTATTTCCTTCATATACTTACATTTCTATCGTTGAACAAACAGTCCACACTTTGCAAGGGGCAAAATGGGTCAAACTGCTTATGACACTGCCCTGTTGATGGATTCCAAAGCAAAGACTCACCAGTTTCTTGGGTTAACACATAAGCCACGTGCCCCTGCATAGGGAATAGGATTCAGTCATATTTGCTGTATTTGTTGACTACCTTCTCTATAATTATTCTGAGCTTTGAAAGTTTTCTTTGGGGGTTTAAAAAAATTGGCTTTAAAACAAACAAACAAACAAACAAAAAAAAAACAACCTAGCAGCAAAACAAAACAAAACAAAACTCTGAAAAACAACAACAACAGCAAAAACCCCAAAATCTAGAAAGTTCCAGAAATCCTGAGACCCAGGTAGTATGAGGATTTAAAACAAGAGACCCTGTGACCCTGCCACCATTGGAGGTTCTGTAGGGTACATTGATGGCAATAAAATATGTTACTTGACAAAATCAATATGCTCTGATGACTCTCTAAGAGTTCTAAAGCATTTTGTGACAGGATCACTTTTGTCTAATTCACACAAAAGAACTGTGGGGACTCACTTGGTTAGAATATACTTGGAGACTGAACACCTGGCAGAGTAGGGGAGCAAGACTGGCCTAAGGCTAAGAGGGAATCATTAAAGTAGTTTAAAATCCACTAAATTAAAATCGAGAGCAGGACTTGGAATTAGAAGCTGAAGGATACAGGAAGGCAATCTGATGACTAGGAAGCCGGGACTGGGGAGCTGGCTCCGTGGGTAGACACTTGCCATGCAAGGCTAGCCACCTGATCCTGGGGACTCATGTAAAAGTGCAAGGACAGCCCCACAGAGTTCTCCTCTAACCTCCACATGTGCATCTTGGCATGCTGCCCCCCCCCCACGCTAATAATAAATACTTATTTAGAAAAGATACTAAGAATTGGTTATGGGGCCAGTGAGGTGGATGAGCAGGTAAAAGCCTGTTGGCCTGACCCCAGGACCCTGTGTGAAGGCGGGAGAGAAGGCACTCTAAAGTTTTCCTATGACCATCACAAGTGTGTTGTGCCATGTGCCTCCTCAATAATAAATACACGTGTAAAGTTTTTCAAAAATAATTATTTTACTCTACATGTTTCTTTTTAGTGGTGACACTTTCTTAGTGAAAAATAAATAGTTCAAGTAATGATAAATTTAACATTTATTGTTTAGGCTAAGACTCACACTGATTTTTTAGTTCACTCTCAATTCTGTGAGTTGGGAACATTTATTTTGCCCCTCTTTCATGAGAAATCAGAATTTAAGGGACTACAGTGACCGTGAGAGGCAGGATTGCACTTCTGGGCAGAGGTTAGGATCTGAGAGGTAAACAAAGCTGAGCTCAGACCCAAATGCAGTTGCTGGGTATTAACCCTTGTCCCCAACCCAGCCAGTCTCAACCCTGCTCTTTGTACCCTGACATCCCTAGCCTCTAGCCCAGAGCTCTTACTCTTCACTATGCTTCTCCATAGTGAAGAAGGGGCTTCACCCCAACCACAGAATTGAGGTGAAATCGGCCTCCTATGGCGTTCCTTCGTGAATTCAAATTAATGTATTTATTGAGACCTAGCTGTGTGTTTACTGCCACCTAGTGGCATTCACAACTACAGCAGGGGATTAAATGGGGCATTAACAAATTTGACAAGTATTAAGCAATGGCAAAGGATACTGGGAAATAAGACCTAGTAACAAAACAACAACAGAAGACCTAAGACTGGAAATGCTGACATGTGGACAGATATCCATGCAGGGCTAGAAACAGCTACAAAGGACAGCTTCGGGCAGGATATATTCACAAGTATATAAATCGAGTTGTAAAATGTTTCCTATTAGTAAGGATGTATTTCTCATCCATTCTCGTAAGGTTAAATCCTGGAAGACACCATTGTTGTGTTTGTTCAAGGACTTCCGATGTATCTGAAACCCAGAATGATGGTGGTGGATGAGGACAACTCCATGCATTGATGCTGCTGCATAACCTCGATCCCATTCATTGCGCACGTGCCACGAACAGCTGCTGCTGAGTGATGTAATTTAATAGCCCCAGTGGCCTTTAAAGCAGCACTGTTTTACCAGGATTAAAAAAAGCTATTCTTTGCACTGCAAAAATTTTGGTGGACTGCCATTATCCTCAAGTCACAAATGTTTGCCCCTGAGACTCTCTAGGTCGCTGAAAGTCTATCAGATATACAGCTTAAATCTGGTTTAGTTTTGTTCACATTTCCCCAGCACTTACCTCGAGGACTGAGGTCCCCAGGAGCACCAATGCCTTCTTTCCGAAATACAGGAAGAAATTACAGAGAAGTATGGCGTGCTCTTCCTTATTTCCAATCGCCAAACTAATGCAGCACTGGGCAGAAGAGGAGGAACAAGAATACTACACTATAGTTAAAAGGTGGAGACGAAGGAAGAAGAGGAGGAGAAGGGAAAGAGAAAGTCGAGTAGAGTAAGTGACACGTTTAGAGCCCTACACTTCCCTTCAGTCTTAGTGTCCTGACTTTACCAGCTGCTACTATGAAAACACAACCTAACACTCTGGCTTCAGTGAGGCAGAAGAAGAGGAGAACAATAACTTGGAGCACCAGGCCACTCTGACGATGGGACAGTTAATATGAATATTACGTAGAGTGGCCAGACAATTTATACCCAAAGTGAGGCACTTTTGTTCAGGACAAGTAGTATACTGCCCTGAGCTTCCAAGGAAGTGTATCTGATAAGGAATCACACAGATCTGGGGAAAAGCAATATTCAGGGCCCCAAAGCTACAGTCTGTCCTTTACCAATATAGTACTTGACTCAAAGAAAGGAAGAAATATGAGTTAGATGATGCCCAATCAGGAAAGGAAGCATAATAGAAACTTCTGTACCCTATAGAGCTGAATGCTGAGCTACAGGTAAGAGATCAAATACTGGTTGCCAAGTAAGACTGTAGAGCAAGAAGGAGCGGGGACAGCAGGGAAATCAGCCAGTGACCGAAGACTCATCATCATAAGGGGGTTTGTTCCCTACAGTTTGTTTTATTTTTTTGAGACAGGGTTTCTCTGGGTAGCCCTGGCCATCTTGGAACTTGCTATGTGGACCAGGCTGGCCTTGAACTCACAGAGATCTGCCTCTCTCTGCCTCCAGAGTGCTGGGATTAAAGGCATTTGCCACCATGCCTGGGCTTAGTCCCTATAATGTTTTTAAAAGCAAAATTTTGTGTAAAACTTTGAATTTCTGGCTTTTGTTGAAAAAAATCTAAAGATACGGCTTAAATGTTCAAATGATAGCTAGCTGTTAGGTCTCTCAGGCTGTCCAAATATCCAGAAATGAGTTCAAACTGGACTAGAGGAGGATTCTTGGTGCATAGATAAAAGCCCACATTCTTTGGGCACTTGTGAAATCTGTTCCCACTTGCCAAAAAAGCCATTTCTCTTACCTCTGGCAAAAGGGACACATGGCTACCTGTGGCACTTACCACACGTCATCAGAGCACATGCTGGCCCCCAGGTTCCCTCAGTATCACAAGCACCTGTCACACATTACAAAGTCCACACTAACATCCTAGCCCTTCTCACCTCCTCCTCACCCTAAACTCCCTCCAGCTCTCAGGCTTCCCTGCCCTTGGCTATTCATCTTTCTCCTACCCTGCTATTCCCACTATTCTCTCTCTTATGTACTTATTCTCTCTCTATCTCTTGCTGTCTTCTTTCTCTCTCTTACTCTGACCAACTCTCTCTTATTTTCACTGTTCTCTCTCTTACTCTCTATGTCCTGCTATTCTCCCCTCTCTTGCAGACAGCCCTGGCCATGTCCAGTCTGCTGGCAATGTTCAGTTTACTTCCTTTTCTCTTTATCCTCACTGCTTCAGATGCTCTGGCTGTTCTCTCTCTCATATCTACAATAAAAACCTGAACCATATCATGGGGTGGTCATGTAGGCAGTTTCTTTACTGTGCACCCTCAGACCCAGTAGCAATCTTTTGTTGAGTAGCAGTGATAACATGCCGACGACACACATACTCTCCAGATCATTACAGCCCCAGAGAGGGCCAGGCAGATGGGGTGGGATGAGGATGCCGCCAGGCTTCTGACATCAACTGTTTATTCAACAGCATGGAAACATCTTACAGAAGCATAACAAGAGATACAACCACACCAATGTGTACTGGCTGCATCTGACACTAGATGACAGGGTTAGGAGAGACAGTAAGGAGAAACATTAGCCAAGAGGAATCTCAAGCATGTAGTAACACCTTATATTCATGGGTGGGGCCAGGGAGGTGGTGCTCAGGGTATGACTGAACGCTTGTTTTCAGCTCAGCTTCTTTAATGCACAACAGGACCATAATACCCTTGAACATGTTTTGATTAGATAGTCTCAAAAGAAGCTAGACTAAATAACAGCATTCTGATTTCTGCCAGGTTCCAATTGTTTGACTGGAACCTCCAGCTCACTTCTGCTTGATCTGGAAAGCTCCATTCCTCTCTCTCCAAGCCCCACCCTCTTAGAGGCTGAAAAGGCTCCAAAAGCCCAGTTCTGCCTTCTTGGTGGCCACCCATAACTCCTCCCTTGAAGTTGTCAGTGGCCCAAGACCCCACCTAAAAGCATACCATACTTGGGCACAAAGCCCAGCTTATGGAGGATATATCATCACCCCTTGCCTACAGGGTATTTAAGCTCCCTCCTTTAGTTTGGGCATGTGATTTCTCCTGCCCCTTCTCTGGGGGCTGGAGGACTCACCTAGGAGTTGCTTTGCTCAAAATAAACCTGTTCTTTTACTTTTTCAATTGGGTTTGATCAGGCTTACTGCATCAGTGGAGAAACCTGCCATTGAGGTACAGAAAACCTACTACTAATTGTTGGATCCTGGAGCAAAACCATCTGCATATGTCCACTTTAGTCCCATTTAATGGGAGGCAGAAAAGCCAAGTATTAAGTTAGTTCTGTACGTCCTAGTTTGTTTTAGCCCAAATCCAGCCCCTTCAAGAAATCTAGGTAAGTGCCAGCAGAACTGTCAGCTTCAGATCAAAGTGTCCCTCTCTCCCTTTTTAAAAAAATTTATTTATTTATT